ATTGTCGCTATATAGATGATACCTTCATAGTATTAGAGAAAGAACATGAAAAGGAGAACATCCTTAATATATTTAATAATATCCACCCATCAATTACGTTTACACTAGAAGAAGAACAGAATGGTAGTATATCGTTTTTAGATGTCCAACTAACCAGAAGAATAGACGGAACATTAAAAAGAGGATTACATAGAAAATCTACAGTTGGACAGTACACTCATTTCTATAGCGCAGTGCCAATGAAATACAAAAGAAACCTAATAAAGATCCTTACTCATCGTGCTAGAATGATTTGCTCTGACGACATTATTTTAGATGAATTGGCTAATATTCGAAACTTGCTTAGTAAGAATGGGTATCCAATGAAATTCATCGACAAACACATGACGGAGACGAAAAGAAGGACAAAGTTACCTACTGTTCCGAAGAAGGTACTGTTCATAAAGTTACAATTCTTAAATGATGCTACTGAAGAAATCTTGACACAGAGGTTAAGAAGGGCAGTACAGAAAACATTTAATGCAGCCCGACTTAGTACCGTCTTCTACAACCGCCCCACAATAAGAACTGTTAATAAAGACAGATTGCCTGAATTCGCCACATCTATGTGTATTTACCAATTCAACTGCTCCTGTGGAGCCAGTTATATAGGGCGTACAATTCGGCAAGTTCGTCAACGAATAACAGAACACCATCCGTCATGGTTGAATAAAGGACAGATAAAGGGGATTAAGAGTTCTATTCTCGCTCACTTGGTGGACACAGGTCATCATGTTGAACTGAATAAAGCTTTTAAGGTTATCTACCATATTCCATCAAATTTGCCACATGGTTTACGAGCTCGTCTATTGCACATAGCTGAAGCCATCGCAATTCATATCTACAAACCGAACCTATGTATCCAAAAGAAGTTTGTACAACCACTCTCGCTACCTTGGCCATCGGTATAGCGGAGTTTGTAGCATAATTTCGGTAAACAATTATCTTATTTCTTCCATTTTTTGTATTTTGTATTTTACTTATTCTCTTCATTCGTCTCTTGATTCTTACATAATTACTATATTACTGACCATTCATCAAAATTTTTAGTTCTTACTTCTCTTTTTTATATATTATGCAACGTAGCAACAGCTTGATTTTCGAATAACTACTTTGATTAGTATTAATCCTTCTCTTCCAATTAATGTTAGTTTATAATCGATGTCATTATATAATCATTACGTAACGTATCTACTCCATGAGTGTTATTTAATTATTGTAAATCATATATATATATATATTAGTGTAGAGCCATGATGAAAAACTAATTGAAAAGAAATTTCTTCGCTCGATTCGTTCCTTTTTAATTAACAAATGTCAAAATGGGAATTTTCACTTTATTAAAATGTTCTGAGCATTCATTTGCGCTAAAGGTTCTCAACGAGTATCTGAAGTATAGCACAAGGCTCAATGAAGCGAAAACACATGTTGATTTTATAAAGCAGTGCATTGAAACTAACTTGTATCCCAAATTGTATTGGAAATCGTTACGTCGCTCTAGAGTTCGACCAAATGGAAGGACTCTCAAACGCTATGCGCTTAATCAAATTGATTCTCTAAATTCATATATTACCGAGATGTCAAAAAATGTCAACGAGCGAATTTACGCGGTTGAAGAGCTCCCTGTTAAGTTAAGAAAACAATATCTGGACTATGTTAAGCTGGTGGTGAACTCAAGAAAAGAAAAGAAAAATATGAAACTTAAGAAATATCTAGACAAACAGGTTCCTGAAATGAAATTCCCACCTAATCCAGGTCAGTATGTACACAATTTTTCCAGTATAAAGCTTGATATGACTGAGTTAGAAGCGTTATCATTAGGCCCTAAGTTTTGTGATTTTAAGAAGACTGTTAATAAGATGGACGTCGAAATTCAGTTTGAAAATCTGTATACCCAAACTGCAGAATTAGTATCTTCTTCAAAAGATAATGTCGAAAGTTTCAAATCAACACTAGTTGACTGTTGCTTTAGATACTTAAATCATGGACATAATTCGAAAGGAATTTTGACGAATAAACATAAGGAAGCTCTAAGAAAACTTAAAACTAATGACAATTTATTAATCACTAAACCAGACAAAGGTTATGGGATAGTACTCATGGATAAAAACAACTATATAAACAAGATGAAAGCCCTTTTAAATGATCAAAGTAAATTTCAGAAACTAGTAGTGAAGAATGACTTGGCAGACAAGATTGAAAAGCAAATAATAGATTCGTTGAAACAAATCAAACAACAGGGTTTCATCTCAGAAAAAGTGTTCGAAATGTTAAAACCTACAGGAACGAGAACACCAAGGCTATATGGCTTGCCAAAAATACATAAAAGTGGCTTGCCCCTTCGACCCGTTTTAGATATGAATAACTCAGCCTACCACACTATAGCAAAATGGTTGGTGCAAATTCTCAAACCGCTCCACAAAGAAATTGTTAAACATAGTGTCAAGGATTCTTTTGAATTTGTCAACAATGTAAAAAATCTATCGCTTAAGAATAAATTTATGATATCATTAGATGTAACGTCCCTATTCACCAACATTCCTCTACTTGAAACGGTAGATTTTATTTGCAATGAAATAACAGAGAGGAACTTAGAAACGGTAATTCCCGTATCCGCAATAAAACAGCTAATTCTTAGATGCACAATGAATGTTCAATTCCGATTCGACAATGAGTATTATAGACAATTAGATGGGGTAGCCATGGGGTCACCATTGGGCCCTATACTGGCAGACATTTTTCTGGCAAAACTAGAAAATGGTCCACTCAAAGACACAATTAGCCATCTAACATCATATTGTCGCTATATAGATGATACCTTCATAGTATTAGAGAAAGAACATGAAAAGGAGAACATCCTTAATATATTTAATAATATCCACCCATCAATTACGTTTACACTAGAAGAAGAACAGAATGGTAGTATATCGTTTTTAGATGTCCAACTAACCAGAAGAATAGACGGAACATTAAAAAGAGGATTACATAGAAAATCTACAGTTGGACAGTACACTCATTTCTATAGCGCAGTGCCAATGAAATACAAAAGAAACCTAATAAAGATCCTTACTCATCGTGCTAGAATGATTTGCTCTGACGACATTATTTTAGATGAATTGGCTAATATTCGAAACTTGCTTAGTAAGAATGGGTATCCAATGAAATTCATCGACAAACACATGACGGAGACGAAAAGAAGGACAAAGTTACCTACTGTTCCGAAGAAGGTACTGTTCATAAAGTTACAATTCTTAAATGATGCTACTGAAGAAATCTTGACACAGAGGTTAAGAAGGGCAGTACAGAAAACATTTAATGCAGCCCGACTTAGTACCGTCTTCTACAACCGCCCCACAATAAGAACTGTTAATAAAGACAGATTGCCTGAATTCGCCACATCTATGTGTATTTACCAATTCAACTGCTCCTGTGGAGCCAGTTATATAGGGCGTACAATTCGGCAAGTTCGTCAACGAATAACAGAACACCATCCGTCATGGTTGAATAAAGGACAGATAAAGGGGATTAAGAGTTCTATTCTCGCTCACTTGGTGGACACAGGTCATCATGTTGAACTGAATAAAGCTTTTAAGGTTATCTACCATATTCCATCAAATTTGCCACATGGTTTACGAGCTCGTCTATTGCACATAGCTGAAGCCATCGCAATTCATATCTACAAACCGAACCTATGTATCCAAAAGAAGTTTGTACAACCACTCTCGCTACCTTGGCCATCGGTATAGCGGAGTTTGTAGCATAATTTCGGTAAACAATTATCTTATTTCTTCCATTTTTTGTATTTTGTATTTTACTTATTCTCTTCATTCGTCTCTTGATTCTTACATAATTACTATATTACTGACCATTCATCAAAATTTTTAGTTCTTACTTCTCTTTTTTATATATTATGCAACGTAGCAACAGCTTGATTTTCGAATAACTACTTTGATTAGTATTAATCCTTCTCTTCCAATTAATGTTAGTTTATAATCGATGTCATTATATAATCATTACGTAACGTATCTACTCCATGAGTGTTATTTAATTATTGTAAATCATATATATATATATATTAGTGTAGAGCCATGATGAAAAACTAATTGAAAAGAAATTTCTTCGCTCGATTCGTTCCTTTTTAATTAACAAATGTCAAAATGGGAATTTTCACTTTATTAAAATGTTCTGAGCATTCATTTGCGCTAAAGGTTCTCAACGAGTATCTGAAGTATAACACAAGGCTCAATGAAGCGAAAACACATGTTGATTTTATAAAGCAGTGCATTGAAACTAACTTGTATCCCAAATTGTATTGGAAATCGTTACGTCGCTCTAGAGTTCGACCAAATGGAAGGACTCTCAAACGCTATGCGCTTAATCAAATTGATTCTCTAAATTCATATATTACCGAGATGTCAAAAAATGTCAACGAGCGAATTTACGCGGTTGAAGAGCTCCCTGTTAAGTTAAGAAAACAATATCTGGACTATGTTAAGCTGGTGGTGAACTCAAGAAAAGAAAAGAAAAATATGAAACTTAAGAAATATCTAGACAAACAGGTTCCTGAAATGAAATTCCCACCTAATCCAGGTCAGTATGTACACAATTTTTCCAGTATAAAGCTTGATATGACTGAGTTAGAAGCGTTATCATTAGGCCCTAAGTTTTGTGATTTTAAGAAGACTGTTAATAAGATGGACGTCGAAATTCAGTTTGAAAATCTGTATACCCAAACTGCAGAATTAGTATCTTCTTCAAAAGATAATGTCGAAAGTTTCAAATCAACACTAGTTGACTGTTGCTTTAGATACTTAAATCATGGACATAATTCGAAAGGAATTTTGACGAATAAACATAAGGAAGCTCTAAGAAAACTTAAAACTAATGACAATTTATTAATCACTAAACCAGACAAAGGTTATGGGATAGTACTCATGGATAAAAACAACTATATAAACAAGATGAAAGCCCTTTTAAATGATCAAAGTAAATTTCAGAAACTAGTAGTGAAGAATGACTTGGCAGACAAGATTGAAAAGCAAATAATAGATTCGTTGAAACAAATCAAACAACAGGGTTTCATCTCAGAAAAAGTGTTCGAAATGTTAAAACCTACAGGAACGAGAACACCAAGGCTATATGGCTTGCCAAAAATACATAAAAGTGGCTTGCCCCTTCGACCCGTTTTAGATATGAATAACTCAGCCTACCACACTATAGCAAAATGGTTGGTGCAAATTCTCAAACCGCTCCACAAAGAAATTGTTAAACATAGTGTCAAGGATTCTTTTGAATTTGTCAACAATGTAAAAAATCTATCGCTTAAGAATAAATTTATGATATCATTAGATGTAACGTCCCTATTCACCAACATTCCTCTACTTGAAACGGTAGATTTTATTTGCAATGAAATAACAGAGAGGAACTTAGAAACGGTAATTCCCGTATCCGCAATAAAACAGCTAATTCTTAGATGCACAATGAATGTTCAATTCCGATTCGACAATGAGTATTATAGACAATTAGATGGGGTAGCCATGGGGTCACCATTGGGCCCTATACTGGCAGACATTTTTCTGGCAAAACTAGAAAATGGTCCACTCAAAGACACAATTAGCCATCTAACATCATATTGTCGCTATATAGATGATACCTTCATAGTATTAGAGAAAGAACATGAAAAGGAGAACATCCTTAATATATTTAATAATATCCACCCATCAATTACGTTTACACTAGAAGAAGAACAGAATGGTAGTATATCGTTTTTAGATGTCCAACTAACCAGAAGAATAGACGGAACATTAAAAAGAGGATTACATAGAAAATCTACAGTTGGACAGTACACTCATTTCTATAGCGCAGTGCCAATGAAATACAAAAGAAACCTAATAAAGATCCTTACTCATCGTGCTAGAATGATTTGCTCTGACGACATTATTTTAGATGAATTGGCTAATATTCGAAACTTGCTTAGTAAGAATGGGTATCCAATGAAATTCATCGACAAACACATGACGGAGACGAAAAGAAGGACAAAGTTACCTACTGTTCCGAAGAAGGTACTGTTCATAAAGTTACAATTCTTAAATGATGCTACTGAAGAAATCTTGACACAGAGGTTAAGAAGGGCAGTACAGAAAACATTTAATGCAGCCCGACTTAGTACCGTCTTCTACAACCGCCCCACAATAAGAACTGTTAATAAAGACAGATTGCCTGAATTCGCCACATCTATGTGTATTTACCAATTCAACTGCTCCTGTGGAGCCAGTTATATAGGGCGTACAATTCGGCAAGTTCGTCAACGAATAACAGAACACCATCCGTCATGGTTGAATAAAGGACAGATAAAGGGGATTAAGAGTTCTATTCTCGCTCACTTGGTGGACACAGGTCATCATGTTGAACTGAATAAAGCTTTTAAGGTTATCTACCATATTCCATCAAATTTGCCACATGGTTTACGAGCTCGTCTATTGCACATAGCTGAAGCCATCGCAATTCATATCTACAAACCGAACCTATGTATCCAAAAGAAGTTTGTACAACCACTCTCGCTACCTTGGCCATCGGTATAGCGGAGTTTGTAGCATAATTTCGGTAAACAATTATCTTATTTCTTCCATTTTTTGTATTTTGTATTTTACTTATTCTCTTCATTCGTCTCTTGATTCTTACATAATTACTATATTACTGACCATTCATCAAAATTTTTAGTTCTTACTTCTCTTTTTTATATATTATGCAACGTAGCAACAGCTTGATTTTCGAATAACTACTTTGATTAGTATTAATCCTTCTCTTCCAATTAATGTTAGTTTATAATCGATGTCATTATATAATCATTACGTAACGTATCTACTCCATGAGTGTTATTTAATTATTGTAAATCATATATATATATATATTAGTGTAGAGCCATGATGAAAAACTAATTGAAAAGAAATTTCTTCGCTCGATTCGTTCCTTTTTAATTAACAAATGTCAAAATGGGAATTTTCACTTTATTAAAATGTTCTGAGCATTCATTTGCGCTAAAGGTTCTCAACGAGTATCTGAAGTATAGCACAAGGCTCAATGAAGCGAAAACACATGTTGATTTTATAAAGCAGTGCATTGAAACTAACTTGTATCCCAAATTGTATTGGAAATCGTTACGTCGCTCTAGAGTTCGACCAAATGGAAGGACTCTCAAACGCTATGCGCTTAATCAAATTGATTCTCTAAATTCATATATTACCGAGATGTCAAAAAATGTCAACGAGCGAATTTACGCGGTTGAAGAGCTCCCTGTTAAGTTAAGAAAACAATATCTGGACTATGTTAAGCTGGTGGTGAACTCAAGAAAAGAAAAGAAAAATATGAAACTTAAGAAATATCTAGACAAACAGGTTCCTGAAATGAAATTCCCACCTAATCCAGGTCAGTATGTACACAATTTTTCCAGTATAAAGCTTGATATGACTGAGTTAGAAGCGTTATCATTAGGCCCTAAGTTTTGTGATTTTAAGAAGACTGTTAATAAGATGGACGTCGAAATTCAGTTTGAAAATCTGTATACCCAAACTGCAGAATTAGTATCTTCTTCAAAAGATAATGTCGAAAGTTTCAAATCAACACTAGTTGACTGTTGCTTTAGATACTTAAATCATGGACATAATTCGAAAGGAATTTTGACGAATAAACATAAGGAAGCTCTAAGAAAACTTAAAACTAATGACAATTTATTAATCACTAAACCAGACAAAGGTTATGGGATAGTACTCATGGATAAAAACAACTATATAAACAAGATGAAAGCCCTTTTAAATGATCAAAGTAAATTTCAGAAACTAGTAGTGAAGAATGACTTGGCAGACAAGATTGAAAAGCAAATAATAGATTCGTTGAAACAAATCAAACAACAGGGTTTCATCTCAGAAAAAGTGTTCGAAATGTTAAAACCTACAGGAACGAGAACACCAAGGCTATATGGCTTGCCAAAAATACATAAAAGTGGCTTGCCCCTTCGACCCGTTTTAGATATGAATAACTCAGCCTACCACACTATAGCAAAATGGTTGGTGCAAATTCTCAAACCGCTCCACAAAGAAATTGTTAAACATAGTGTCAAGGATTCTTTTGAATTTGTCAACAATGTAAAAAATCTATCGCTTAAGAATAAATTTATGATATCATTAGATGTAACGTCCCTATTCACCAACATTCCTCTACTTGAAACGGTAGATTTTATTTGCAATGAAATAACAGAGAGGAACTTAGAAACGGTAATTCCCGTATCCGCAATAAAACAGCTAATTCTTAGATGCACAATGAATGTTCAATTCCGATTCGACAATGAGTATTATAGACAATTAGATGGGGTAGCCATGGGGTCACCATTGGGCCCTATACTGGCAGACATTTTTCTGGCAAAACTAGAAAATGGTCCACTCAAAGACACAATTAGCCATCTAACATCATATTGTCGCTATATAGATGATACCTTCATAGTATTAGAGAAAGAACATGAAAAGGAGAACATCCTTAATATATTTAATAATATCCACCCATCAATTACGTTTACACTAGAAGAAGAACAGAATGGTAGTATATCGTTTTTAGATGTCCAACTAACCAGAAGAATAGACGGAACATTAAAAAGAGGATTACATAGAAAATCTACAGTTGGACAGTACACTCATTTCTATAGCGCAGTGCCAATGAAATACAAAAGAAACCTAATAAAGATCCTTACTCATCGTGCTAGAAGGATTTGCTCTGACGACATTATTTTAGATGAATTGGCTAATATTCGAAACTTGCTTAGTAAGAATGGGTATCCAATGAAATTCATCGACAAACACATGACGGAGACGAAAAGAAGGACAAAGTTACCTACTGTTCCGAAGAAGGTACTGTTCATAAAGTTACAATTCTTAAATGATGCTACTGAAGAAATCTTGACACAGAGGTTAAGAAGGGCAGTACAGAAAACATTTAATGCAGCCCGACTTAGTACCGTCTTCTACAACCGCCCCACAATAAGAACTGTTAATAAAGACAGATTGCCTGAATTCGCCACATCTATGTGTATTTACCAATTCAACTGCTCCTGTGGAGCCAGTTATATAGGGCGTACAATTCGGCAAGTTCGTCAACGAATAACAGAACACCATCCGTCATGGTTGAATAAAGGACAGATAAAGGGGATTAAGAGTTCTATTCTCGCTCACTTGGTGGACACAGGTCATCATGTTGAACTGAATAAAGCTTTTAAGGTTATCTACCATATTCCATCAAATTTGCCACATGGTTTACGAGCTCGTCTATTGCACATAGCTGAAGCCATCGCAATTCATATCTACAAACCGAACCTATGTATCCAAAAGAAGTTTGTACAACCACTCTCGCTACCTTGGCCATCGGTATAGCGGAGTTTGTAGCATAATTTCGGTAAACAATTATCTTATTTCTTCCATTTTTTGTATTTTGTATTTTACTTATTCTCTTCATTCGTCTCTTGATTCTTACATAATTACTATATTACTGACCATTCATCAAAATTTTTAGTTCATACTTCTCTTTTTTATATATTATGCAACGTAGCAACAGCTTGATTTTCGAATAACTACTTTGATTAGTATTAATCCTTCTCTTCCAATTAATGTTAGTTTATAATCGATGTCATTATATAATCATTACGTAACGTATCTACTCCATGAGTGTTATTTAATTATTGTAAATCATATATATATATATATTAGTGTAGAGCCATGATGAAAAACTAATTGAAAAGAAATTTCTTCGCTCGATTCGTTCCTTTTTAACAAATTAAATAACTATGGTAACAGTGTTTATTGGTATTTGATTTACTTTCATAAAGTAGGATAGAATCGATAAAACAAAATAAAAATTGAATTTATTTATCAGGTGATATATTTATCTACACTATCATATTTTCAATTCTTTTAAATCTTATAGAGTTGAGATCATAAGTCAATTGAAGCTAGACCACCATGGAAAACCTGGAAGCACTGGACGGCCGTTTGTCCTATTATGGGACTCCTCAGCAGTGTGCATCCACGACCTCACCTTGCGAGATTCGAACCCAGGACCTACCAACCTTTCGCCATAGCAATTAACCGATAAACCACTGAGCCGGCCGGAATCCAACGGTGTTAATGTCTAACTTCGATCAATCCACGAAATTGAGCAACCATTCACCAATATCATCTTTTAAATCTTGTTTGAATTATTCAATGATTAGATTCAACTATTTCATTTTATTGAATAAATAAGTCTATTACATGTGATTTCATTACTACGAATTTTTATAATTCATACCGGACAAATGAAAATCATTTGTAGAATGATTTGGTTATTTTATGTTTCGTTTGTTTATCTACATTGACTATCCAATAGATAGACACTCATTATTTTTGAAGTTTGAAAATATCTGATTCGAATTAACAGGTTAACAAGCTTGATTTGATCTATTCGCATTCTCTGCACCTTTTATCCCATTTATTTTCGTATTACTTAAAGAATAACTTTGTGCTTAGAAAGATTTATCATTCAACAAAATGACAAATAAGCTTTTTCAACTGTTTTGAAGTTTTCATCAGTTTACGATTTCATAGATGAGTAATAGAAGCTATTTTCTTATTAACGTTCTGAATATTTTTAAAACACAACTTGACACTTAGTATTGTTTGTTTGAATCTTCCCATTGATGTTTAGGACTGCAACTAGTCAGTCCCTTATCGGCATATGTGCATAAAGTGCGTATTGTATCGATATAGCCTTAATTCACAAGCATTGTAAGCAAAGATGGATAATGGCTAGCAGTGGAATCCAGTATGAGCGTTTCGTCCTATTTGGGACTCGTCAGCTGGATGCACCTGCATCTCAGAGTTGATGTCCACTCTGAGACTCTGAGATGCAGGTACATCCAGCTGACGAGTCCCAAATAGGACGAAACGCTCATCCTGGATTCCACTGCTGGCCACTATCCATCTTTGCTTACAACTTGACGCTGTTCTCTAACTGATTAATGTACTGGATTCAACAAATTTATATATTGAAAACAATAGATATGGCTCTAGATTATCCATGCAAATTTTGCTACTGACTAAATAACAGTAATTACAATTAAATTAAACTCAGTCACCTGAGTATTTGCTGCATTAATTCGAAATCAATTACGTAATGGTTTGATATCGTCTTCATCAGTATATATAGACTAGGCATAACTGAAGAATGGTAGTTCGTAACATAATGGTTCATGGGTCAAAATAAAGATAAGAAGAGGAACACGAATATGAATAGTTTAGCTACTTAACAATTATAATATAAAAAATTTATGTATAGTATTAGTCCAGAAATAGATTACAGCAGTTACCATGCATTATTCTCATCGGGATATAACAATAATAAAATAGTTGGAAAGGCGAAACCACAATTTATGGACGAACTAATCAGGTATAAGATAACAGGTCTCGGATTTCAGCACGAAATCCACTAATCTATTTGGCTAAATAGAGTTTTGGCATTATAGCTGATGTCAGTTCGCTACAAATCTAATTCCTAACCTTTACCATCAACTGTAAATCATAATTCTACTTCCTCACACTGGTCTATAACCCTCATTTGGTTCTAGTTATTAGGTGGACACTCTCAAGGTCAGCTTAGTATCACTCAAAGGTCGTCCATAAATTATAATCTCACCTTTAGGAAGATTAGTTAAAGGAAACAAAAAAGAAATATTTTAGAAAACTAGGCTGATTTTTATTGGATATCAATTAAGCAGTATAGACTTGTTGATAACTTCATATTATTCTATTTTGGACTGCAATAAAAATGTGATTGAACATGAATTATTAGAACCTTCAGATTCTGCAACTATTAATTTAGAAAATTTTAATATTATAGATGAATCGTTGTGTTTTTTTTTTCAAAAGTGATTAAATCCATGAATATTTCAAGCCTATTTTTTAAATCGGATTTATTGAAGATGATAATTATGATGAGCAATTATTAGGGTAATGGTCAATTTCCACTAGTATACGTGTAAACTGAAATGTGATACATAAATATTTAATGTATAGATTATTTGTAATGAAAAAATTAATTACTGAGTCATATACTTAATCTCTTCCTTAATAAATATGCTAATGATTTTGCAAGAAGAAATACACAATGGATTTATGCTATGGTAATGAAGGCATGATTACAAGTCAAATTTTTAATAAAATATCATAAGAAGAAGAAATGTGAGATATTTTATTACATAATCTACTAATTCATATAACTACTTTTTGGCTATTATATTATATATTGCTATGTTTGAAAAGATTACGAGTTCACCTAATCGGAATGAAGACTCAGTGACACGATGACTAAATCAGTTAACTATTCCAATGCGTTCTAGCCCTGCTAACTAAAGAGATAAGTTCAAGTCCTGAAGAGAGAATATATATTCTAAAAGCAGTCAGAAACATGAACAATAACAACAAGCGCAAATCAAACGTTTATATACAGTATAAAAATGTCCTTGGGAAGCGGACCAAAATGGCTTACTAAAAG